GGTCGGCCCAAAAAGTTCTGGCAACACTGCCTAGCACCAAAAAAAAAACAAAAAAAACTTGCTGTCCAAACAACAAGCACTGGTAGCAGTTGGAAATTTTCGCATTACTGACCGAAATTAGTTGGGAGTTGGCATGTTTGTTGGGCGATTGTTATAGTCGGGTGTGGCAAGCTAAATATTTATGTATGCATCGGGTATATATGTAAGGTGTATGGCATTTAGTTGTCTGTAAGCATTTGCATTTTTGGCAGATGTAATATTTGGCAGCGAGATTTAATTAAAATATTTTGCTGGTTTTGGCCCACTCAATATGCAGGGAGCTTAGAAAAGTTTTCATGGAACAAATGCGCATCAAGTTAGTGTTACCAATGAATGATTCCAAATGGAATGTTAAAAGGAGGAAAGCTTTATTTGTTCTCTTTTTCGTTTCTGTAATCATTAAAGGATTGCTGATTTGTCATTGGCTTCAAAGCGCATGTGCGTTTATACAAATATTTAATAACATAATAGGCAAATATAAAGTGGCATTTACTAATATTCGAATTATATTTGTTTTTTACTTACATTGCACTCGCAGATGTACTCGCTTACTGATGGACGGTGGCACTCCATTTGACGCTACACACAGGTAGGCAGCCATGTGCAGGCGACTCACTTTGGTTATATGCAACAACTCGCCATCGACAACGTTTACTGTAAAATTAAGAGAAGGACAATTGTTATAGCCATTGAAAAATAAGCGGATAAGGTGTCATAAGCGAATTTAAAACTACAAAATCGGGTTGTTCGCAGAGTTTCAGACCCGCCACGTAAAATGCCCCCAGCCTTCTCAAAGGAAAAAAACTAAAATCAAGCTTCGGATGAGAACCCCTCTTTTCATGACGAGCCCGACAAACATTTCAAGGACTATGTTTTCCGAGCAAGCACCTGTAATATCCGGTCCTTTAATTGGGAAGGTGCCCTGCTCGACTGGGTGATGTTTTCGTAGGGGCAAAAAGCAGACCTCACCGCAAGCCAAGAAATGCGTTGGATGGCACAGGATTGACAAAACATGACACCTTGCGACGTCTATTACGGCTGCCTTGTGTTTGTGATTAGTGTTTGGAGAGAGGGAGAGAAAAATATCATAGCAACGTTCTGTCGTTAAATGACAGTCATGCTAGTTCGTAGTACCAGATTTCAACTCCAAGATTCGCCAAGCTGCGTGAATGTACCCAGGCTGGAAAATGAAAAAAAAAAAAATCATGCGTACGATTCGAGGATCTATCTTCTATCCGATTAAAACATTCGCCTAAATGCTGAAGGAGACCGTTAGTTCAAAAATGAGAAATTCCAACAAACAGCCAACAGTTTTTCTACTCAGCTCTAACTTTTCTAGTGCGTTTGCTAACAATCCGACTCGAGCGAGCAGTGAAATCATATTTCTCGGTTCCTTGGTACTTATTACCGCTGATGGAACGATGAGCTGTAAAAGCTTTCCAACTGATTTTAAGGAGCCAAGTGAAAAGATGTGTGGTATCGTGTGCTATGCCTTTACAAGATAACTATGGATATGTAGTTTTTTAGCCTTTTACAGTATCCATACTTTAGTTACGCGAAAATCGCGCGAGCCACTCGACAAAGGTGAAACTCTTCGTTTGCGTTTGGTGGAGGCTGAACTCTGACGACGGCATTCATATCGCGAGAGTTGCAAAGGGCGTAATTGCGTGATTGTCATTGGTGGTTTTTCTGCATGAACGAACGAATAAGATCTCCCAGGACGGCGTGCGAGAAGAAAGTATTTTTTTTTTCAATGACGTAATTTTTTCGCCGCCATGTGAATGAAAAGGAACGAAACCATGTATGTGAATGAAACCGATTAAAAAATGACGTCATCAATTATTTATTTTTTTCTCAAATGCAATTACAAATACACGGTTGCCGTGCTGGGTGATCTGTGGCATACATTTTTTGTCATTGGAAATTCGGCATTAGCCAGTATATTGTCTCTTAACACTTTCCGCTTTCTGGAATGAAAACCTCTAACATTTTTTTTGTGGATCGTATGTGATGTAGCGTGGACCGAAAATCCGCTTTTTTAAAATTTGATTGGTAATATTGCTCAACGAGAAATAAAATAAAGAAAATTTGTTTTATTTCACAAATTTGCGTTATTGCCGTGTGTGTTCTTGCATTGTGTGGTGTATTTTGCGCATTACGTATAAAATGTATTTTATTGTACCATCCGAGGTACCAGAGTTTTTGCTTTCACCTTAGTTATTATAAGTGTCAAGAGAGGCACTTATACTGCAGCCGCGCAGGAGAATTGGAAGGCGGCGTCAGTCGAGGTAAAGGAGCAGCGGTAGGAAATAGCGTCGGAAACGGAGTTGGGTGGCATAACTCCGCAGAAGCACCCCGTGGTAGACGCACACCCCGACCATCGCATTAGTGGCTATGTATTTTGTGTGTCCCTTTTTGAGCGAATTGTTCCAGGTAGTTTTGCCCTATTGTATTCCTTTCCCTTACTTTCAGCATCCCGCGCCCATAGCGCAGCACCCTTGCGGTAGCGCGAGTGGGTTCGTAACCTTTTGGGTGAACCTCACCTCGGTTGCACCAATAAAGAAGGTTTTGTTTTGGTATTATTGCTGTTGCTTTATATCGTCTGTTTCGTCTTTTTAAAATTTTTAATCGCATTTGAATACCTAGTCATTTGTCCCATAATTTTTGAGTCACCCTGGTAGTGATATTTGCACGTTAGTTGGTTATATATTAATAGTTAGTGCCGTTCCCCCATATAATTGTTGTTGTCCCATCTCCCAAATTTGATCGTTTAATTGTATCGCATAGTCCTGTTGTCTTCCCCACCAGCAACCTCGCCGTCCCCACTGTAACTTTCTTTTCTTTTGTCACTTCCTTTTTGCATCTATTTGTTTATTTAGTTATAGTATTACTATTTATACTAATTGTTGCGAAATTTTCTTTCTTGGATAGCAGCTATCAATTCTTCGTGATGACCAATGAAAGCGGTTATCTCCTCATTCTTACTCAGTAGTCCATTACATTTGAATAAGGATTCTTATACAACAGCGTGGGCCGAACAACCGCTTTTTTAGAATTTTGATTGGTAATAGCAAAAATATGGTACAAGTACTTGGGAGCCTGATTATAATGTTTAGGGGGTGAAGTGCAAGTGCATATGCCTACTTTGGCTATGTTGCTTTCGCAGCGGCGACGGCGAGGTAGTCCCACGTCCTCTCACGCAGGCCAGAACATATCCCAAAGTGCCACCAGCCAAAGCAGGCGTTACATTCGCCTAATAGGATTTTAAAAATAGTCTGCTCGGATACGCGGTGCAAACTGTGTGAGGGACGAAGGGACTGTTGGAATTAGGTGTTTTCTAACACCGGCATGCTATAAAAACACGGCTATGAGATAGATACGGCCATTTATTGCAAGAAATATTAGGCTTTTAGCCGCAATAAATCTATACATATAATTAAATTGTTACAGGCCGATGTCTGTACATTATAGAAATTAAAGTAAAACTAATATGGGGGCTCTTTATTAAGCAATAGAAGCCAAATCAACCATTTTTAAAATTTTCGTCGTTTGTCTGTCTGTCTGTCTGTCGGTATGTTTGCACGCGCACCACTCGAAAATGAATGCAGATTATTGAATGCGGTTTCCACGAGTGTATTGCTAGAGGTCTAACTTAAAATATAGAAAGAAAAATGTTTGAGAGTTGCCACCTGTTTGAAAATTGCAGGCTAAGTAAATTAATAAGAAAAGGTGAATATTACAAGATGGGCGTCAAAAGAAAGAGGCTTAAGAAGCCTTACAGCCGAAAATGTTTGTTTGAAAATTTTAATTTAATTTAATTTATAGGTCAAATCGAATATGTCAATATGGGTATCAAACTGAAGAGGTTTAGAAAATTTTACTGACGAAAGTATTTTTTAGGAGGCTTGCCACCTGTTTGAAAAATTTTATTGAATTAAGTTGATAAAATAAATTAAATCTATATCTGTACTTATAATACAATTGTAGCAGGCCGATGTCTGTACATGATATATATTAAAGAAAAATCAATAAGGGGGTCTTTATTAAAGCTACAGAAGCCAAATTAACAATTTTTAGAATTTTGGTATGTCTGTCTGTCTGTCCGTATATTTGTACGCGCATAACTCGAAAACTAATGCATGGAATCGAATTAAGTTTTCACCTATGTATCGCTGGAGGTCTAACTTACAATATAGAAGAAAACAATTAGAGAGTTGCCACTTGTTTGAAAATTTCAGTTTAAATAAATTGATACGCCACCTGTTTAAAAACTTTTATTTAATAGATTTGATAACGTAAATTAAGTATTGCAATATTGGCTAAGAGGTTAGGAAATTTTAAGGCCGAAAATATTTCTAGGGGATCTGCCACCCGCTTGGAAAATTTTATTCATTTAAACTGGTAAAATAAATGAAATATTGCAACATGAATATTAAACTAAAGAGGTTTAGGAAGCTTACTTGCGAAAATATTTTTGAAGCGGGTTTTCACCTATTTGAAAAATTTAATTCAGTTAAATTGATAAGATAACCTAACTGTTGCCATATGGTTATCAAACGAAGGTATGTGAGAATAATAAAATTGTATATAATTAATATTAAAGAAAAAATAATAGGGGGCTTATTAGATCAATAGAAGCCAAATCAACTTTTTTTAGAATTTTGGTCTGTCTGTCTGTCTGTCTGTACGGCAACATGTTTGTAAGCGCATCATGCAAAAACTAATGTATAGAATTAAAGGCGGTTTTCACCGATGCACATATTGCTTGAAATCTAACTGAAAATATAGAATCCATTTTTTTCAGTTTATCGTCGATCTTTATTTCTAGGAATTTGAATGTATTAACTTTTACCAGTGCTTCGTTGCCCTTCAGGCAAACGGTGACAATTTGCCACATAGTGTAAGTTGACAGGAGAAAAGAGTGCCACTACGGTGACCACTCTTGGTGATGTAGTGGGTATCAGTTCAGCTTTTGTTTACTTTCAGCATTCGCTAGCTTGTACGAAAAAAGCCGAATGGATAGGAGAATTACGGCGGCGAAATAATTAAAACGCCGCCTTTATAATCACGCGGAGGGCATTAAAAATACCAGAGACGGAAAATAAACATTATTTTTAAAATTTTAACAAAAAAAATTAACAAGTTTTAATCGTCGTAAAACCGTTATAACTATACTCACGTATTTGTGTTCGTAGTAATAAATTAAAAATAATAATAATAATTAATATTTGATTAAGAAGAATATTTCAGTTAAGAATAATGATCATTCAGGAAAACTCAAAAGCTATAGCAGCGTGATTTCCGTTGTATCCTTTTTAGAGGTAGCGACACCCTAATAAGAAGAATAAGTTCCAAAATTTTCACGTCAAAATTTCAGTAAGTTGCGTCTGTATGGCCTTTTCAATTTCATAAATAATCATTGTTTTTAAGCGGAAAAATAAAACTCAATAATAATTATTATCTCTGAGCGAACAAAATAAAAATCATAAAATAATCATTATTTGTGATCGAAAAAATAAAAATCAAATAATAATCATTTCCGTTGAGCGAAAAATATAAAAATCATAAAATAATGATTAAATGCTGATTTAAATTATTTTACTCATAATAATTACCGTCCCTGAATAATACACACTTTTCCGTACGTCTTTACTCTAGAAAACATGAGCCGGCCATCGAAAATTATAAGTTCGGCGTAATAAAACTTCTTGCTCGGCACATAGATGTGAAACAGCTGATTTACATGTGAAACGTTTATAGAAAAGAAAAATAAAAGCATTTTCGTGTGTGAAGTGATTCGCGTTTTTATTAAATTGTGGACATTAATAAATCAAATAAAATGCTGGGAAGTCGGCGAAACTTAAAAAGGTTGGTAAGCAATAAAAGAAAAGAATTTTTATCTAAACTTCAATATAAACCAACCAGCGAGGTAGTGAGTGTCCCGGTAGCATCTGAACCACGCGATTATGAGTCTCATTTGCAATCAAATGCAAATATAGTTTCTGGAAATGATCCTGCTAACAGTGTGCGTCCAATTTCTTTAAAAGAGCAGCTAAAAGATTGGGCTTTGAAACACAAGCCAAGTAGGGAGTGTTGCAATGATATACTTGCAATTCTTGCTAGACAAAATCTCGATGTCCCAAGGGATATTAGAAGCCTCATACCAAAAAAAAGCAAGTTGGTTATTAAGAGTGTACCTCCTGGGTTTTATTCTCATTTTGGCATAGAAAAACAATTAATGTCTTTTGGTGATTATGTTTCTCAATTCGAAGAAATCGTTTTCGACATAAATGTTGACGGAATACCTTTGTTTAGAAGCTCAAGGGTTCAACTCTGGCCAATTTTGATAAGAATTTTAAACTTTAAAGTCAATAACATTTTGCCAGTAGGTATTTACATTGGAAAACAAAAACCAAAAGATTTAGAAGTTTATTTGCTGGATTTTGTTCAAGAATATGATAATCTTTCGAAGACTGGTATTTGCGTTAGTAATAAAATAGTTAAGCTTAGATTGAGGGCGGTGATTTGCGATGCTCCGGCTACAGCTTTTATATGTGGCACAGTTGGACACACATCTTCCCACGGTTGTTCCAAGTGTACACAGGTAGCACGGAAAATCGATCAGGTTTTGACGTACACTACAAATTCAGACAAACTAATTACAGATGAAGATTTCACGGAGAGGCGACTGAAAAATCACTTCAGCAAAAAGTTTAGGTCAGAGGCTTCTCCCTTGGAAACTCTTAATATAAAAATGGTAAGCCAAATTGCTCTTGACACTATGCACCTTATTGATTTAGGGGTGGTAAGGAAATTTCTAATACGCTTGCTGAACAACAAAACCAGTTTGGAGTACAAAGCTCCTAAGGAAAATCTTAGTACCATTTCGACTAAATTAGTCTCCCTTAGAAAGTATATTCCACTAGAATTTTCCCGTCGACCGCGAGGTTTTGAAGACATTGTTCATTGGAAAGCAACGGAATATCGCCAATTTTTGCTTTATACAGGGATACTGGCATTAAAAGGAAGCATTCATGATGAACTCTACTATGAATTCCTCTTACTCCACTGCTCATGCAGACTTCTATCGTGTCCAAGATCCTACGAAGAAAATATATCGCTTTGTCAAAATATGCTAAGCCTATTTGTGGAAAACTTTCCAATAGTTTTCAAAGAAAATAGTGTGAGCTATAATGTACACAGTCTTTTACATCTTACCGAGTGTGTAAAGCAATTTGGTGTTTTGCAAAATTTTTCGGCCTATGGCTTCGAAAATTATCTTCAGATTTTAAAAGGCTACGTAAAAAAACCACAATGCGTACTCAAGCAAATTTACAATAACGTTAAACACGAAAACCGTCGCATTTCATCATAACAGGAAGGATTTGTAGAAGAGAAAAATCGTGTTAAAAAGTTTGTGACCTCAAAATATATTTTTAGTACCAAATTCCCTGATAACTATTGCTTTATCTTACCGGATATTCCCCTCACAATCAAAAGTTTTGATAAAGAGAACAACCTTGTAATCGGAAAGCGATTTCTAAATCAAACGCATTTTTTTAGTCAGCCTATAGATTCGTTAAAGCTTTTAGGAATATGTTTAGTCGATGAAAATATTAATGACTTAGAGGAGAGTTTTCCCACATCCAAAATTAAATGCAAATGTATAGGCTTACCATATCAGAACAAAATTTTGTTAGTTCCAATCCTACATGGCTGCTTTTAAACAAACACAACTAAATTAAACAATCGAAAACCAAATTGCATGCACACATATATAAGTTATATAAAACTCTAACTTACCTTTTCTATCAACATTTTTCAAGGGAAATCCCAAAAATGCAAAATCGAGCATTGAAGCACCTTAACTCAAAGGACGAACAGGTTCTACTCGAAGGTAAATATTTACTACATTTAAGATTTCCAGGTTTTACGTATTAACTTCATTTTATTATAGGTGAAAAACGATGTGAAAATTGTAAAAGGTTAGAGGACAAAATTGATCAAAAATTCCAAGAACTAGCAGGTAAATGCATATTTCGAAGCAGCTTAATACTCACATTGCCCAAAGTTCAAAGAAATATTTATTGTATCTTTATTAAAACTATTTCCGATCATTTTTTCCAGATAGAACGAATCATCAAAATACAATTATAATGGAAGCTTTGGCAGAACAAAATGTCCTAATTAATAGGCTTATTTTCCAAGATGAAGAAAACTTGAACGTGACATCCACTTTCCCAATAAAAAGCGATAATGAACTTAAAGAGCTAGACCAAAAAATTGATGATTCTAACATTAAAAACTATGTAAGTATTTGTAAAATTTTACAATAGTAATTTTTAAATTTATTTATATACTTTTGGTTTTATTTTTATTTTAATAGGTAAATATAGTTAAGAAAATTATTTGTAATAATTTGCAGAAAAACATTGACCTACTATTGGAGCCTGAATTTCTTTATGAATATAATATTGACGGTAGTCATGGAAAGAAACGATTGAAAGAGTATAAAATGTTTGAAGTTATGAAAGGTTTTCTAGAGTAAATTGTGGAAAGTAAATTTACTAATTTTTATTTTTTCTCAGATTGCGTTATTTCGATATATGGCGCAGAAGGTGCTGAAGAAAAAATACGAAAAGCGATTCATTTATCAAAGAAGCGGCAGTTAAAAAAGTTGCTTACGAATAAAAGAAATGCCACCAGCGATGATAATAAATAATGAGTATAAACTCTTTTAAAGTCCATTGACGAAATTCGATGAATTCTTAGTTTTAAAATGAAGTTTTGTATTATTTTTCACATATTTTTCTTTATATTAATGATTCAATGATTTTCTAAACAGGATACAAGAAAACTGAGTAAGTGTACTTTGTACGAAATATATGAGAATTTTGTAGTTTCACCTAAACTGCAAACTTTTTAATAAGAATTTAATAAAAATCGAGTATGTAGTTTTATACCCCATTCAAATTTAGTATAATAATGTGCAAACTTTAAATGTCTTAAAGTACATACATATGTACATAAAGTATTCTGAGATTTCTCTTTATATGGAAGAAAATGCGTGACACCGACAGCATAAAAATTATCAAAAATCAACACGAACTTTAAGACATTTAAAGTTTGCACAATATTATACTAAAATTGAATGGGCTATAAAACTGCACACTCGATTTTTTGAAATTCTTATTAAAAAGTTTGTGGTTTAGGTGAAACTCCAAATTTCTCATAAATTTCGTATAAAGTTCAAAAATTGGATTTATACAGTGTTTGTTAAACCTTAAGCGATATTTTAATACAATATGGATTAACAAAAAAATATTTAATATGAAAAGCATTGCAACTATTAAAACTAATCATCGTATATCAGTTTTGTGACTAAGGGTATATTAATATGTTAACTTCGTTATTAAATTGATTATTTTTTGCTTAAAATATGTAACAAAATAGTAGTAGTCGACATATGACCACTTTTGAATATTATTCTTTTGCGTGTTTAATGCTCGTTAATTTTTTATAAGTGAATAGCACATTAAATAACAGGACCCATATATGTACATATGTACATAAATCGAAATGTAAAAAATGTATATATATTTCGAAAATAACTGAATTTCTTTCATTTCTATGAATAAATAACGTAAAAAAATTTTAAGAAATCATCAATTCTAAGAAGGGCAGGGAGGTATTCGTGATAGGTTCTTTTAAACAAGTCACGAAATGGGTAAACGGGGTTTGCCAGGGGACAGGTTTTCTCAGGTCGTCACAGTTCTGCCACCGGAGTCTCTATGCGGTGGCAATCGGTCACTGCCAATGACAACTCCGTGTTAAAGTTGCCGGTCGTTTTCATATAATTGAACCGGAACTGTGATCGGTATCTTCTCTTTCAGACAGGTATGTGATATATCCAGTGCCGGTGCTTTTGCCTGCAGGGTGTTTATATTTAGAGTTAGCGCCGCACTGTTTTAAAAATTTCGCCTTGATATAACCACAAATTTAGTTTTATTGACTTTCAATTCCTGTGTTCATAATCATAACCAATCGCACTTCTTCGGAACTACTTTGTGGTTTCTGCCAAAAAATTGAGAAATCTGAGGGGTCGCGTTTTTACAATTTCATATGGTTTTCTGCAAACTAATAAACGGTTACACCGATTTGGTTCATATTTGGAACATATGCCAGCACCTTGAAAATAAATATTCAAAAATTCCAAAAATTTACTCGGTATGTGGCGCTTGTGTAGGAATATTCCTAAAACTCTTATACAGACTAAAACGTAAAAAACCAATATATCTCTAAAACCTGGAGAACTGTAATTTATCATGGATGAATAAATTGCAAATACTCTACTTATGGCGAAAACTGGTAGGCGTTGGAAAAGGGTGACTGGCACCTCCCATACAAACTGAACTTCTCATATAGCTTATCTCTGGATCCGCTTACGCTAACGTCCTGAAATTCGACACAGCTACATATCGTCGCTACCATGTCAAACTATCGAATGTGAAAATAGATACTTTTCAGGAGAGCAAAGAAACTGTTGTATAAAATTTTTTTGGCACTAGGAAAAAGTGTGGGATTCGACACTTTGTTAGAGTCAGTATCCTCTTCTTCTAAGAAGACTAGAAATTCGACGATTTGCAAACTTTGCGCATCATTCCAAACGCATGCGCAAGGTATCTAAATGAAAAAGCATTTTTGCACATTCGGTAGTTTGACGTGGTAGTGATGATATATTTTCAATACCATACTTATGGCGAAAAGTGGTAATTATTTGAAAGGCTGCATCTACATACATTTACGTAAACGGGCAAGTATTATTCGATTGGGAACCATTTTCTCTCAGATTTCTAAATCCTACTGAGATATTGTAACTTTGCTTTTAATTTTTTGTAAAAGGTAAAACTTTCGAAAAATTTTTAAGAATTAATTTTTTTTTTGCACAAAGTTTGGAGCTTTGGGACGGCGAGGATTCTTGGGCCTCCTATAACAGAAAACGCACATCTGTTCTCTTGAGTAGACTTTTTAATTGCAATAATAGATGTTTTAATTGCAAGATCATAAAAAAATATTACGCATGCTTGGAAGAGATCTCACAGGTGAAAATAAGACCATCGGTAAAGTTCATGACATCGAAAGGGATAAGTATTCTATACGCTTTAGTGATTTCAACTTCAACTAAAAATGTTGACTTTACAGACTATTTTTGCTTTTAAACGCTCTATTTCATTGGCCAACGCAGAAGTGCATATTAGGCGCCGCGAAGCAAGCGGACATTGGCTAGTAAATAAATAAAATATAGTGGAGGCATATGGGATATATAATATTGCATATTATATGTACGTAATTAGGTAAAACAATCAATTCATAACTACTAAATTCAAAAAAAATTAATTTTTTTACCTTCCCGTTAAATATTTCTAAGTACTTTTGTCTAACAGTGCATTTAAGGAGTATTATAAACAAACTGAACTCACCGTGCTCACCGCCAATGAGCATCTCCTCGCCATCTTCACGACGCCACATCACATATGGTTCTGGATAGCCACGAGCTTTACACATCAACGTGACATTGAGCCCTTCACGAACAACCATGTCATTACTGGTCAAGGTTTCGATGATTACAGGAGGCACTAAAAACGATTTCGAAACCAATAATATTATTAGTACGACAAAGAAAAGATTCTGAATATTTTATAAAAATTCATTACGAGTAAATACTTATAAACAAATTCAGCGCATTTCCGACTTTCGGAGAACAAAAATAAGTTTTATTACCCAACTCACCTACAACTTGCAGATACCCCTTTTGCGAGCGCATGGGGTCCGTATTCACCTGACACATATACCAACCCCGATCGCTCTCTTCCACCTCCCGGATATGCAGATACCAAGACCGGTGGTCGTTATAGCTGAGACTAATGCGATTATTTTGTGATATAACGTTGTGATGTATGGAGAGTATTGTCTGTGTGTCGACGCGCACCCAAGCGACCTACAAGAGATTTACGAATTTAATGTTTACTACTATTAGTTAAATGGCATAATTGGTTTGAAGACGAGAATTAAAAGCAATGAAGGACAAAGTCATGGAATCGGTATGTTTATATGCAAAGGAGCTGCAGGGAACAGCGAAGAGCTGTTGCGCTAAAGCTGTAGAATTTGTATACCCTTTGAACACATTCACTCAGTAATTAAGCCCATTATACTTATAGAATAGCACCCTAACTACCAGCTCTTTCTATGCGTTTGTGCTTCTATATCACTTACACACATGCACGTGTAGATCCTTATGTACATACATATGCACAACACAGACCACTTGTAATCTAATGAAAACTGACAAGTTACCTACTCGTACGATTTGCTATCGTACATTGGCAGCCACTCATCTGAGCTCCTTATTCTGTTACCAAATTATCATTCGATTGCCTCAAAAGGACTAAACTGCTGAAGTGTTTCATTGCCATATCGAGCCCTAACCGCCAAAATAACGTAAGCGACATTTTTTTCAAAATTTTATTTTTGATGCAGAAATATTCCTAGAGCATCTAGAGATCTAGAGATTTATCTTTCCATTTATACTTTACTCATGCTAATTGAACAAAAAATAGTGGGGATATATAGAATTTTATTGTGTTAGGTTACCGGTATTATTGTGTTCTATTACACAGGGAAACAAAAACGGTAAGGCTATTTTCAATGGACTCCTTTTTTCTGCTTACCAATCCGCACGTATACAGTTTCTTTACCGCTCCAACCGCCGAGACACTGAGGATTTGAAATTCGTGCAACCAAAGCGTGGACGCGGATTGGAACCCAGGCCGTTCTAACTTCCAAAGCGGTGTGCCATAATGCCATAAGCCTAACAACCATTCGTACGCCGAAATTTGGGCACAATGTAGCAGATCAACGTAAGAGCTACGATAGTCGCGTACCTCCGGATACCCTAGATATAAAGGTGGGTAAGTAGTCAACATCAAGGAGGATGGTTCCGTGCGCAGAAGTGGAAAGCTTTTGACTGCCATTCACCTGGGAGTGGCCAGAAGTGATTCTTGTGCGTACGGTCCAAATCGCAGCTAACAACGTCCGGATATGTATATCGACGTATCCTGTGGGTAGCAGCCAAACACCCGTTTTGGAGCGAGCTAAATTGAGAAGGCGTAAAACTTCGCGTGCGCTGGGTTTGGGTCCCGCCACGTTAAAACCCCGCCCAATGAAAAATTCCAACAAACCACAGATGATGGTTTTTTGATGACGACCCCGGCAAACGTATAAAGGACTATGATTTGAGGGTATGCACCTGGAATATCCGGACCCTTAATGGGTGGGCTGGTTGATGTCCTCGGGAAGACAAAGGCTGACATCACCGCCATCCAAGAAATGCGATGGACGGGCCAAGGCAAAGTAAGCGTGCAGCCTTGCGATGTCTACTACAGTTGCCATGTAAAGCAGCGCAAATTCGGTGTTGGATTCGTGGTAGGAGAGAGACTCTGTCGCCGAATACTGGTGTTCACCCCGGTGGACGAACGTTTAGCCACAATCCGCATCAAAGCTAGCTTCTTCAATATCTCACTATCTGCGCCCATGCCCCGACGGAAGAGAAGGATGATGCGTCTCTTCTATGAGCGCTTGGAACGTACATATGAGTGCTGTCCCCGACATAATGTCAAAATCGTGCTTGGCGATTTCAATGCCAAGGTGTGCAATGAAGGGATTATTGGCGCCGCTGTCGGAAAATTCAGCCTCCACAACGAATCGTTCGATAAAGGACTGAGGATGATCGACTTCACCGGGGCCCGAAACATGGTAATATGTAGTACTAGGTTCCAGCACAAGAACATCCACCAAGCTACATGGCT